CACACACACACACACTCCTTAGCCTTAACCTTGATGAATTGTTCGACTTTTCATTAGTAAAATTTCTCTATGTTCATACCTAGAACTAAGTAGTCATACCTTGTGACGGGCTTCCGTCACACGGTGCTACTGCGCCCACCGCAGTAGCCAATTAAAGTCTAGTTCCACCTCACTGGTTGGCGTAGTCGCAAGGCCACGCCGGTAACTTTCTTTAATCAGAGTTATATCTACCAGCTTCCTCGCAACTGTGTACGCAAGGTAACGAACTCGCTAAGCCCCGTTACACCTGGTAGCACTTCGTGATCCACCCAACGACCAAGATGAACGACACGTCGATGAGCGACGCGTCCGAGATGCCCAGCACGTCCCTTGAGCATGCCAGCTTCCCACATCTTTCTTCGATCAAATGGGAGGCGTTGCATCGCCTGGCCGCCGCGTCCGGCGAGGCCGTCATCCAGACGTTGCTGACGGCTGGCTCTGAAGCCCAACAACGCCTGTCCGCCCAGGAGTTCATGGCGCGTGAACTCGCTGACCTTCGTCAGCGAGTGTCGACTCCCATGCTCACTAAGAACAAGTCTGACATCGTCAAACTCGATGTCTCCTCGTACAGCGGTGAAGGTGGCGACCGCCTTCATCTAAACCGGTGGTTCTGCGAAATCGACATAGCCGTCGAAGCTCGGCAAGTGTCAACCGAGCTAGCCCGGACGCGTTTTCTCCTCTCCAAACTTACTGGGAGAGCGAAAGATTGGACACTCGGATCGCGTTCGAGCCGCCCCAGGACGAGCGGATTCAACGCTCGGCCTTGCTATCACTCAAGCAGGGCGACATGCCCATGCTCGAGTACATCCAGCGGGCGTTCCATCTCATCTCGTGCATCACCTCCTACCCCGTGGACATGGCGACGCAGGTCCATGTCTTCGTCTCGGGCATGAACGCTGGATACCAGCGCTTCTACCTGACGAAGACTTCAGCGTGACCGCTTCGCAAGCATTCGACTTCTCTCGGGCTCCGGCACCTGAACCGGAGCCGGAGCCAATGGAGATCGATGCTATCCAACACTACAATGGGCAACGTTCCATGCCGACATCGACGCGCCAGTCGCGCTCGCCGTCGCGTGGTCCCCGACCGATGAAATGCTTTCGCTGTAGCAAACCCGGTCATCGCGCAGCGGTGTGTCGTGCACCGGCGCCCGTGTTGGCGACTGTCTCCGTCGAGACTGACGTCGCCGCTCAAAAAAACGGCGACAACCAGTAGGTGCAGGGCGCCCTACTGGCCGTGAACGGAGAGAGGGATCTCTGGTGGCGGATCCCCCTCCTAGCCCTCCAGTGCTTCACGCACAACTTATTGTCACCACCTCCGGCAGCGACTCGAGGCTGATCGTGGTCAGTCTCCACGTCGAAGGCGCCCAGCGCCCGAAGCGTGCGATGGCCCTTCCTGTGCAGCGTGTGAACGTGCAGCATGTGGACGTCCTGAGCATGATTCTCGGGGCGAACCCGACACGGCCGAGCAGGTACCACCGTGTCCGGATGAGCAGTGGCTCTCGAGTAAACAAGACGTGGTTGAGCGTGGCCTCCCATGTGGTCGCAGCTGGGCTCCCGCGTGTGGTCGAGCGGGAGCTCCCTGGAAGATCCGATACGGTTGAGACGTGTATCCCGTATCTGGACGCCGAATCGGTTAATCGGCGTCACGATTCGACAGACATGATCGAGCATGGGCTCTCATCTCCTGTCTTGGCAGACGAATAGCGTCCGGTCCGTCGTCGTGGCACCACGTCGACCACGCGTCTCGTCAATTGGCTCTATTGATCCGGATTCTGAAACCATATCCGTGATGGTGGGAGACGCCAGGGAGTGTCCAGCACGCTTGTACGAACTCGAGGTCGCACGTCCTCCGTGCGACGCCGATGTTATCACCAACCTTCCCGGCCTGTCGTGGAAACATTTCCTCCGCGACCTGAAACACGGCGAGATCGACCAAGTATGCATGCTCGTGGCTGAGGACGCCGCGACCATCGCGGCTGTCAACGCCGGTCCTGCGGACTCCGCGTCCGACCCGCGACATCGTCTGAAAGGGGCCGAACCTAAGAGCGCTCGCGAAGTACGGTACGCGGCTCAGTCGTTGCCGGCTCTCCAAGCGTCCGGCAACCCTGCGGCTTCCCTAGTCCA